GTGGGCGGCTAATTGTCATTCTTAAATAATAGATAGGTATGTGATTTCCTTAGTCCTCTTAAAGGTCTGATGGTGAGATTTTATATTTTTAATATAAAGAAGCTATATAATTACAAGAAAAAAAAGAAATAAAAACTACCTCTACGTAATTTCGATAAAAAATATATTTAAAATGACCTTTTTGTCAGTGATTATGTATGTATATGGAGTAGGAAAATAAAACCTTTGTATTTTGTCATTTCTAATAAATAAAGATTGCTCTTGTACAGATCGAAATCGCCAAAAAACGACCGCCCAACCTGAATTCATTAAAATCCCAACTCTATTGTATTTTATCATACAATCTTTTTTGCACCTCGCTCAAATATATTTGCAACCTCATTATATTGTCTTAATATGTCGCTTTTTGTATTGCTTATCTCAAATACAGTTAGGCATTTCTTTTATAATGAAATTTAGATTTTCTTTAAAATAATATACGTTTGAGGAAGTTCATAACAAAATTTACCAAAATGTGACAACGTTGGAATTATTTTAATTTTCATCAGATATTGAACAATTTTCAATGTCAGATACGTTGATTATTTCAATGGTTCTCTGATGGCGAACTAAAATATTAATCATATGGTAAACCTGCTACTAAAGTTTTTCACTTTCTTCATGTTTTGTTGAAAGTTTTCAAATACTATTATTATTGGATATTGAGAGCAATTAATGCTCTCAATATCCAAATTTTCTATAATAGCTTTATAAAGATCTTATTACATAATTAACATTTTAGTTTATAGATAGATAATTTCATTATTATACAGTTCAATATGAAAGCTCTTAAACGTGAAAATTTATGATCACAAATTGTATTCTACACTCTCATTTAATACACAGTTTTGTTTGTGTGTGTGTGCATTTATAAACAAAATAGTATTATCAATGTAGGGTTGCAATGGGCAGAGCCAGGTGTCACGGGCAGCAGCAGATTTTATCTTAGATGGGGGATGCACGCTACGCCGTCACCGTTGAGTCGCCATCCCTTCCAAGCAACGCTAATGGAACAAATGCTTAAAATACTGAAAATGTAATTAAGTATCAACAACTAAAAGAAAATTAATTGATGTAGCAAACTGTCTTTGTTTCTGATGGTTTCGGGTTCAATCCCTGCACAATACAAATACTCATGTTTATTAGCTTTATATTATTATATTGCTTATTATTCTGAAAAGTAATGATATCTTTTTCCAGGAATTTTATACAGGAAGTGTATGCAAATTTCACAGTGACTGTTAAGCCCTGTTTTCTTTTTCTTTTTTTATTATTACGGCAAACAAAACTAACTCACTTTCACAATTATAATTTCAGTACCTAAGGATTATGTCTTATATTACTTTAGGCGTTTTGTATGTGTGATGTATACATAAATATTTACAAAATTTAAATATCTATATGGTATTTAAATATCTGTATCTGTTATTAGTTATTTAATAACCGTGATATATCCCACAATCACGGTGCAAACTTAGCCTTCTTTAATTTTTTTTATTTTATTAATGACTCATTTGATAAAGTAAATTTTATTATTTTTATGTATTAGTTATAATAGACTCTAATTTAATCTCACACTGTAAGTAATATAAGGTTTAATATCGAAAGATAGCGCGATGTAGATAACTTGTTTAATAACGTCGTGGAATCAAGTGCAGTGTACAAACATCTTTTATAACTGTTTATTGTGTGTTGTTAAATCATACAAAGGACATTGGAATATAAATATGTTGTGGGACGTTTTCAATATCAATAAATCTATTTATTTCTTCGCTATTATCTGGTAGATAGCAGTTGGAATATTAATTTGCATGCTTTTGTCGTATAATTCTGATGTATGAGATAAATGCTTTTGTCCAATAATTTATTATGACATCACATGTCCTGGATATAAGTTTATTATTTTTGAGTTTTAAAAATAGTAAATTTACATCCAAACTAGTTTGGAAGTTTGTCTGTAAAATAACGTATTAAATACACGGACATGTAAGTTGAATCGTTTCTGAGGTTATAAATTTATAGTTATATGATTACATTTTTTTTTAAATAACTCTTATAAACAAAAATCTCAAATTAAACGTAGATACTACTTCTTCTATTGCCTATCAATCGGCTAATTTCGGACATTCGTATTTTATAATGATCTTACTAATAAAATTGTAAATAGACGTTGTAATATATGTAACATAGAACAATAACTTCAGAATATTTATTAGTCTGCCTACATGTTTGTTACGGCATTATGAAAAAACTACTGCACCAAATTAGATGCGGTTCCTGAAGGTCTGGTCCATAGGTCCTGAAAATCTAATTGAAAATTTGATGAGTTTTATCGTGATACGCCATCCAGTATTGGTCCATTATTTCTGATGAAATTCACTCGTACGAAAGTATCATTTTTATCTGCAAATATTTATTTATGTCATATTTGTGAAATTTTAATAATTTTTTTAAGTAAACATTACGTATAAGCAAATAGGTAACTCGTTGTTTGCCTAAACATAATGTGTCGTAATAATTATTTGCCTCGTATTTTACTAGTGTTATTAAATGCTTTACTTAGGTACTTTTTACTGAGAGTCGAAAATAATTCTATCGTCCTCTAGATAGTATATAGATTAATATTGTTTATTTAATTGGATTTTTATGTAAATTGAAATGTATTTTTTATGACTGTGACGTTTTTACATTGATACCTTTCACCATTTCTGAAGCTGCATCTCCTGTAATTTTATTGCTACTTCAAACTGAAACGTAACCATGCAAGTCGGACTGCTTCATAGATTGTAGTAAAATAGCCATTGTAGATACTATATATCTGGTATATATAGTATCTACAATGGCTATACTATATAATATAAACATTAATATATCGCTGATGGCACCTCCAATGTGTCTTGAATTTTGAGGACTAAGTACCTACTCTTATATATCAACACTTGAATAAGATATTCATTTATAACTTTATTGACTATTTATGCATGGCTTAAAAAGTAGATTTTATTATAAAAAGTGGCTTAATACAACAATTTTTGGTAGAAAACAGATATTTTAGTCTTCATACCGAAATCAAAACCACAGAAATACATCAAAAGCAACGCATCTATTTTTGCAAAAAACTACTGCTAGTGTGTGAAAAATTTCACCGTATATACTGTTATTTGAGTTGAGCGTTTATCTAAACAAGAAAACAATTTCAAAATATAACTTACTAAATAAAAGAATATAGCGTTAGGTATTTAAAAGTGATTAGAATATGGAAAATGCATGCATGTGTCTTTGTTAGATATACTGAATAGGCAATCTTGTATATTAATAGAATAATAAATGTAGACTCAGTATCTAATAAAGCATTTAGAACGATATGTAAGTGTCATAATCAATTAATCGTAGAGCGGTGCACCATGCAACATCTTCGTGCATGGCGGCCTTAACTTAGTAAGCCAATTTACCTTTGAATCTTGTAAGTCGGTGCTCGAAGCTGCTCGTTCCTCTCCCAATGCAATATGTTAACATATTTTTTAATTTCCCTTCTGGACAGTTAAAGAGGCAATCGCGAGTGCATGCGCAGGAGTGAGATTTATAATAAGAAAACGCTCCTACCGCGCATGCACCATAAGGATCTATAAATCTTTTAAGTACTGCATCGGCCAATCCCTGTTGAGAAACGATAAATCATCCCCGCGGACAGTGAAGTCGTATCGAATACGATCGCCGTCTCGCTCTCACTCGTCGCCACTTATACCGGTTAGATCATTTATCATTTCTGCCTCTCGTTCCTTCTCAATGATAAATTCAATTCTCTTTTAGAATATGATTGTTCCTCGTTTTGTTATTATGGTGTTTTATTGTGGGTATCGTCACGGAGTTGGTTTTTTGATCAGAATCCGATCGAAATGATCGCGAGAATTGGATTTGCATTTTAGATTTGGTGCGTCGAGTGATCAATCTTCTGGAAATCGTATTATGGATACGGGCTGTTGTTTACGAGTTTGGGTTCGAGAAAAAGTGATGCGTGCAAAAACAAATTATTTAGATATGTGTATTTAATGCAGGTATTTGATTCATGTTGATTGTATCAGAATTTCAGATCGATTGATGTTAATGAATATTTTTCTTATAACAATAGATATAGTTAAGTGTCATCTAGCTTTTTTTACTTTTTTTTTAAATATTATTGACATCAAATGTATTTTATATTTTTTATTGATGCTGAAAAAAGAAACTATTGTAATCTGTGCAACGATAGGTAATGAATAATAACAGATCAATATCATGAAATTGAAATATGGTTTTTTTATTTAATATCTTTGCTATTTACAGGGCTGTAGAAAATACAACAATTCATCTTAAAATAACTTAAAATACTTCGTGCTCTTTCAGTCATTTTTATAGGTATATAATAATATCATAGACATAAGTTTCAAATTTATCATCTCTATCTAAAACATCGGCCCGTGTAAAAATAGTATATTATTATGAACATACATATAGCATTATAGTCATACAATTCAGAAATAGGTAGCACAATTAAATAGCAACTACAATTAAGTAATTTACAATAAAATGAATCGCTTATTTCTATTATCACTGGGCATTTCCTTAGAATTTATTATCTTTACACAATGCTAAACTTAAAGTTACTTTACATGATTTTTACAACCTATAAATCGTAGTTTTAAGACTTCGGTGCTTTGGCCATGATGATCGTTATAATTTTATGTAAAGTACAGCTTGTCAAATATTCATAATATAGTGCTGGAAACAATGTAACTTCAAGTAATTAGCTGTCAAGTTATAATAGTAATTAAAATTTCTTACCACGTTGCTGGTCGCATGAATATATAAAAAAAATGTAGGAAGAATTCAATTTACAAAACGCCTGTTGTAATAGCAATATAAAAAGATATAATAAATCACTGTCAACAAAGATGTTGACAAAAATATTTGCTGTATTGTAATTTTTATTCCCTTAAGGTATAAAAGATACAAAAGCGACAACCAAACCTTGTGAACACACTTTGTTTATTAAAATATGTCGCGTTGTGAATATTACATCCAACTAGCAGTAATAGTCAGTAACTAGTTATCTTTAAGTTTTGCATAATTTCCTTGATAATTACTTCCTAATATATTTTGAATCGTCTTTATGAATATTAATAGACAGAACTGTGGCTGGATTCACTAAGACATCGGACGGCTGTATAAGATTTACTGGTCGGACTATGTTAATGAACTAATTAATAAGCGTATTGTACTCCTAAAAAAGCACTCGAGTTGCGCTTAAAAAACTTTTCATTCCACGTTAATTTACAAGTACATTGTTCAATCAATTTCGTTCTCACACTGAAACACAAAACGGAAATATTTTAACCTACCTACTTACAAGTGACTATTAGGAATTTGCATTGGTTCTTATGTCAACTAACCGTCGAATGAAGAGTTCTCTAAGCGCGGTGCGGTCAATAGGCGGCCGCGGCGCCCGAGTGATGCATCAAATGATGGTGGTGATACGACTCTTGCGTCGGGCACCACCACTCGGGCACACCGTGAGGCATCGTCGCCGCCGGCTGCTGGAACTGGCTCCAGTGACCGCCGAAACCTATTTTATTGTCCATTACACCATTTCCTCCGATATTTGTTAAATGCGGAGATTGATGTTGATGAGGTGGAGCCGGTGGGCGTTCGTATGGTTTTTGGTCATGTGGGTTGAGGTACTTTTCGTTTAGGCTTTCTAATTTATCTGCTATAGAAGGATGATGGTGTGGGTGGTGCGTTGGGCCTGACGTAATTGGTGGAGGAGGAGGAGCAACAGGACTGGCTGCACCGGCTGTTACACTAACACTGCCAGCCGAGGAGGAATCGTCTCCGTCACTGTCGTACCGCGGCGAGGCGTCCCCAGTGGCACCGTGCACCTTCATATGTTTCCGTAGAGACGATGGGTGCGTGTACGACTTATCGCAGCCATGGACGCGACAGTTATAAGGTTTATCCGACGTGTGGACATGCGAATGTTTTTTTCTATCCGATGAGTTCGCAAATCTTCGGTCGCAGCCAGCATACTCACATTTGAATGGCTTCTCACCTGAAAACAAAGAAATTTCAGTTAGATAAATGAAAATTTTAAACAATGCAATATATATTTGAATGTTTATTTTTTAGTTTTGCCCAATTAAAAACTATGATTATTACGTATGACAACGTATGACTACAGTTACAGTAACGTACGAAGCATAGCCTAATATTATTATACTTGTACCACTGAGTAATAAACAAACAGGTCTGTTGATAAATTCCTCTTAAAACATTACTAAAGCCTAACTGTGATCGCCAACACGCCTGGAAAGTGTGATAACTACTAGCAAGATCTCCTTCAGGAGGGAGGCCTATATTGAGCAGTGGACAGTGGTTGGCATGATAATGAAGATTAATTCAAATACACAAGCCTCTCCCTTGGGGGGTATTTTTCAGTAGTTGCCACGATTGGCAAGTGGATTGGCAACCGCAGTTAGGTTTTGGAAATGTTTTAAGAGAGATGCTACTGCCCATTCCTTCATTTAGTTGCTACATACAACACTAACGGGTAAGGATGGGGTGGCCTATTCTATGACAGGCTAATAATTACATTACAAGACAAACATTCCATGTGTAATAGATATGTATATCTTCAGTCTCGCAGTAGAGCATTCAATTTGATACGTTTACTGATTTGATTCGAGGTAATACGATCGAGCCGCGGGTACCGCGAATGTCCAATCAGCTCGTAAATAACCAGATTTGCTCGTTGTTCATAGTTTACGAGCACAAATAAATATTCACAACAATTGCACGGGATACTTAACACGGTCATAAATCATATTTATAACACGACTTTGTCACGTTGTGCTAACAAAGACTTGCAACAGTAAATAAGGCATTTCGACTTTAATATCTGTGTTGATGTATTTAGGACTGAGTTTTTGATAGCTTTTGGTGCATGTTCAAGTAAAAAGGATTTGAGTTAATATTGCTTCCGACGATATGATGATTAAAGGTTTTGATATCCATTTTATGTTTGTAGTGCACAACGTCAATTAAAGATTTATAATATATAGACAGTAGAGATAAAGGATCGTGTGAAATTTACATACTAATCTCCACAAGGAAAGAATTCCTGTCGATTACAAAATCGGCGGAGATGTCGCGTCATATAACTAAAAAAAAAAAAACCAAACGAACTGAGAACCTCCTCCTTTTGAATGTAGAAACTAAAAGAATAAAATTTTTTTGTATCCGTTTTCGTTGTTTTAGATGCTTTTTTTCATTTTTATTATTTTTGTAGGTGCAAATTATAAAACTGTGTTTAAATATAGATATATATAGTGTCTATCTTATAAAATCTTTTTGATTCACAGCGATCCCAATTTTTTGCATGTTTTTATTTTTTGCCTAATATCGACCGCTTCCCGCGACCGCGTATTGACAGATTCTTCACGAGTTTACCGAATCGTATGAGATAAGTATAATATTCAATAAAATACATTGCAAGTAGGCAGAGCGCTTATAGCTAGCGTGACCGTGTCGTACAACAATGTGCTACTCTTTGTTGTATTTACAAATAAACCTCTTCGCGTATAATCCTGTGTATTGTGATTGAAACTTGAAGATCTCGAGGACGGACAGATGCTAATCTCAAGTGTCTGTTAACACGGAAATAATAGGGCTTTTTAGGCGTTCCCTTACCGCAAATTTTTGTTATACTACTCGATACTGAATAAGTGTACCATCGACGGATTATTTTGAATGGAATGATACTTCCTTTCTTCCATTCAACACTTCATTGCAAAATATTTGCACTTTAACTATCGCACACAGTGTACAATTTTGTAAGCTTTGGATTGTAAACAGTATTTTTTATCTTAATTTGTATCGGTGTATAAAAGGTATCACGGTTTCCAAAAGTGATCTGATGTTTCGAGTCAAAACAATAAAAACGTTTCCGGGTATATGGACTAATGAGATAAAGGAGACCAAAACATGTGTCGCCGTCTAATTAGTAATCGGACGTCTGATCTCCGTGTGATGTCACAAAAAAGGATCAATGACAAATGCTATTAGAATGTGATGTGATGCGTTATCGCGCACGCGCCACACCGCGTCACGCTGCGCTTCTGGGTCGTCTTGATTTTATGTACTAGAATTGACAATAATATAAAGATTTGTACCTATCTTCATTTAAAATTATTTTGATAATTATAATGAATTGTAAGTACGTCGGTAACTGTCAATTATGATTTTAATTAATAGGTTATTTTTACGTTAATTTTAATTGTGAAATGTACTTACTATATGCTACATAACGATAGTATTATTTAAACAGTGATCAAAATTTATCAAAATTTTCATGAAATTTTGTATCAGGATATGATATTTTTTTAATTATTAAAAATGAAACGATAGCCTGCGGGCTTAATTCATATTGGTTGAGTATACAGGTGAGAGGTTATAAACGAGGATGAAGTCAGGTTACTTGACTCACAAATTGCTAGTACAGCTTCAAACCTCACTAGTATAATAGTAGGATTTAAAATAATAATAATAAAATGTTCTATACTAAATTCTTACCCATATAAAATTTGTGTTACTAATATACGAGTAGTATAAGTTATATTTATTATGCCTACACTCGTTTAGTGACATAAAATAAAAAGCTTACAAGTCGGGGTATGCATATGGCATTGGTATCGTGAATTCCCCGCGCGCCGCGCTGGGACGCGGCTAGGGTCAGATCTTATCTTAAACGGCTGTATCACTGTATCACTAACAGGAGACACTTTTTTGTAGTCTTACTATTCGTGTGAATTGTATCCTCAAATTAGAAGCTTCACAAAAAATATTGGTTTAAATTATTTTTGAATGCAAAAAAATCTATATGTACCATATTGATTTTACCACATCATGCCATAAATATCTGGTTTTGTGTTTGAAATATTACCTACAGAGACTAGGCTGAATACTTATAATGTAGTTAATAGGTCCTAAGTCCTAAGGTGGGAGGGGAGGTTTGGGGGGAAAGGGATTGTTATCAATTGGGAGGTTAGTCTCTATTGCTATTAATATATCCTATCAGGTCGACCTCCACGCGTTTCCCCTGAAAACTATGGTTGAATTCATCACGATGGGCTAACTGGCTTGCCTTCTCATCCTCAGTGATCATCTCTCATGGTGCCCCGCCAGTGTATACCAATAGCGCAGGCGAGATAATCGTTCCATTATCATCCATTAAAAAATAGTTCTAAGTTGGGAGAAAAGGATTGTTACTAATGAGGTTTAACTGTCTAACAATATAACCCTATCAGGTCGACCTCTACGCGGTTTCCCCTGGAAAATATCGTTATGAATTCTAAAAGAATTCATCGCGATAGTTTCCATTATTAGCAATATATCCTGTCAGGTCGACCTCCACGTGGTCCTCCTGAAAACCATTGTGTTGAATCCTAGGTGTATTCATCACGATGGGCTAACTGATCTGTTTTCATCCTCACCTATCATCTCTCACTGGTGCCCCGCCAGTGTATACTGATAGCGCAGGCGGGGTTGCCATTTCATTTTCATCTATAAAAAAGTTCTAAGTTGCCAGTTCTTACTAGTAAAAATAATTTTCTTCTATCTATCTATCAAGGCTGACAATTGAAATATAGGTTAAACTGTAGAACACTTACAAATTATACTAGCGATCAGATCTAGCTTCGGGTAGATAGATAAAAAGATAAATATTTTGTATTAGTTTTAATAGACAAATTTTTAACTTTAATAGATAATTCGGGTTGCTTTATTTTAATTTTCTTAAAGATCCCTATTTTTTTAAAATAATATATGGTCTTTGCTACTCATTGATAATGTAGCTATAGAAATAAATGTAGGTGAAAGAATGTTTCAAATCCACTAAGTAGCTTTTGAGTTGACTACCTGACTGCGGTTGCCAATCTGCTGCCGAGCGTGGCAACTACTGACAAAACATCCCAAGAGAGAGCCTTATGTTCAGCAGTGGACAGTTAAAGGCTGATATGATGATAATAATGATGATGATGATGCAAAGAATGAAATCTTTATTTTTTTAAATTTAGAACAGCAAATAAGCTGACGGTTCACCTGATCTAATAATTTAACTTTATAATAACATATTAGTAGAGATAACCATCCGATACAGAATTTTTGGAAGTTCCCACAGGAAAGAAAAATGAAAGGTTTTAGGTAAGGTAGGAAACACCGCTTATTGTACTGCTTCATCTTTTGATGATTATGGATTTAATCCACGGAAAACAAAAAATATTTATACGTTTTTAAAATAAATGTATTTAATTCTAGTTATTATATATTGGGACTAAATCACATTATGAATCGTCCAGTGGAGTTTGTTGTTTTGTAAAGGAATTATTGTTAATCTTATTTTTCATAAAATCCACACATTTCCACGATGAAAATATGTTTAGTTATATTTATTTACTAGTAAGGATGGAAACGATCGAAATTCTCGAAGGCGATCATTCAGCATTTATCTACATCTATTAATAAATAATTATTTATGAGGAATTATTCAATCTACTTTTCTAGTATTTACATTTGAGTCAACTATTTCCTATTTATTATAGTGATGTAAAGGCCATGTTTTACTCAAGCATTTTATTTTTACCTTGTTTTTTATTAATTTTTTTTGTTCATTCCTATTCTGAGTGGCTTAGTTTGTAATTCTAGACTATTTCTAATTATACCAGTGTAGCTTCGGTTTTTCTGTAGAAATAAATAAATAAAATAAATTTCCGTACTAGGCCGCTTAACTAGAATTATTACAGAAATAATATAGCCATGTACATAGATATGTATCTAAAGCAACGAAGCCTGAACTTATTGTGTATACGTTGTATTGTGTACAGATAAATTGATGTCGCAAATAGATTAGCGCTATGATTATTGGAACGCAACAATATTACATTGTTATGGCCAATAATTCGTATTTAATGGGTTCGCTTATGAGAAAATGCATAATAAATATTCAATCACGTTGTAATTTAATCGACTAAGTAGTTGGCGAACAAGTCACCAGTT